ACATTGTAAGTAACTGTAATTAAAATACCTAAAAATGAACAGTAATCAGTTACTCTACTTTTTCAGTGGAAAAGTAATTTAATTACAGTAACGCGTTACTTAGTAACACATTACACCCAACACTGGTCCCAAAACGTCGGCTGCATCCTTCAAAGGACGCATTTGAAGGCCGATTACGTCACAGCCAGGCGACGAAGGCCGTCCCAATTCATCGACTCCTTTAAATGCGTCCTTCATTTCCCTGGATTTGAAGGATGGGTCGGGTGTGTCCTTCATGGTCCACCATATCCCAGAATTCATAGCGCGGCCCAGCCAATTTCAGCTGCCAACAATGGCGGCCGCTACTAAGTTTTAATATCACTCTTATTAATCTTTCTGGGTCACAAAATAAACTTTTAACATATTTTCTGGTGAGAAAGTAGTTGTGCAAACTTCAAATATCTGCTCTGTTTATCAAGATATCGCATATTTGCAAAAGTTCTGCGACGTTTTCAGAGACGTCTGTGACCCACCAGCTCAAAGCTGACCGGGAGGTCGAGGGTCACTGGAGCCGGGGCGATAACGGCGGACTCCCAGCTTCATCGTTTTCAGACCCCCGCGGTCTGTCGCTACTCAGGTTAAACGTGATATATGAGTCACTCAGACAACCTAAAAATGTTCTTGTTGGGCTTTTTTCAGTGTTTGATTTGTTCCTCAGTAAATCGGTTTGGCTGAGATTAAAGTTATTAGATTAGATCAAATTAAACTTTATTAATCCCTCGGGTGGGTTCCTCCTTTTTTTTTTTTCACACAGCTGAATAAACGTCAAACAGAAAACTGATAAACAGGAGTGTGAGACGGTCGAGAGTTTACTCCAGCGTCCTGATATATTTTAGACAGCAAGGAGCAGACGGCGAGTTTATTAACTCCACCCAGACAGCGGTGACGCTGATCTGAAGGCTCGACCGTCCCGTTTCACAGTCGCTCACTTCCAGCCTACTCGGTTTTCGAAGGACGCGGCCCACGTAGACCACGAAGGCCGCGTCCTCCGAAGGATTTGGGCTACGTTTTTAGGACACAGCTGTTGTCTTCGGTCCTTTTTATTCTTTTGCTTTTTTGTTACCGATTAATTTGAATCCATCACATATTTATTTTTTTGACCGTTTTTGACTTCAGAGACGTTCAGTCCAAAACTAAGAACTTTCCCAGTATCTGTGTAAAGTGCACAGAGACTGACTGCAGAATAACAGTCCTTTATATGGCCGTCAAACACGCGCTCACCTTAACTCGTCCAAACTCACAGGCCAGATCCAGAGGAGTCTTCTTGGCTTTGTTCACCAGACACGGGTTAGACTGATGCTGCAGCAACATCTCAGACTGCAACACACACACACACACACACACACACACACACACACACACACACACACATACACACTTATTCAGCTTTGCCTGGTTCACAGTTGAATATAATCCTTCTTTATCTGGTCCTCGGTTCAGAGCCGCTCCTGCGTTCATCAGTCACATGATCT